CGGGTTAACAGCGATTTTTATGACTTTGATGAAGGCGCAAACGCTATTAGTCGGAGCGAGATAATCGTATCTATCTCTCAGCCGACCGCTTTGCAGCCCACCAAGTCTATCGCACCCCTGCACTAAAACTACCCCGGAAAGTGGTGGGTAACCTAGGAAAGTAGCTCTGATACCAAGTGTTATGAGTTGTAAGAATGAAGAGTGCGCAGAATGCAATATCGTGGAAGTGATTACAACAACTGATCAAACAACGAGGCCTAGGCACAATATAGCAAAGCTAGCTAGGCCGAGGTCGCGGAGTCGCGCGAAGGTTGGGTGCAGGTTTGGGGTTGGAAAACCCGAAGGCGACGCGGTAGACGTTCGGAAGGCGAGGTCGACGGGCCGAGCCTGCAGTCCGAAAGTTGGAATTGTACGCGTAAGAGCTGCCTCAGTAAGGAATTAGTGAAATTCCTTACAAATGGGGTGCGCGACGGGCCTAGCGCCGAGGTTGGGAATTGTCGAGGCGGAGGTCCGGAGCGCGGGTTACCAACCGAGCCGTGAGGTTGGGTCGCGTCGTGAACAGTGGCGGGAACAGTACCGAGTGTCGCGAGTGGTAACGGATTACTGTTGGGTGCTGTTGGCGGGAACAGTGCTGTACGCGCTGAGCAGGGACGCGAAGTAAGGAAAAAGGGTTTTTCCTTACACTACCCCCCCCCTAAGGAGGTCCTCCTTACGAGAGCGCGTGTACATCCCGGAAATTGCGGCTTCGCAGGTACTCGGTGAGGACAGGGTGATTCTCATTTCTTTCCAGGGGAACCCAGTTGTCCTCCGTGGGCGTGCGATCTTTCCAGCGGATCAGGAATTCGATTCTGCGGGCTCCCCGTGGGTCACGTACTCGATGGCTTAGGATTTTTTCAGGCGTGATGGTGGGCTCCGTTGGTGGCCGTGTCATGCTGGCGGGGCGGTTGCGAGGCAGTTGGCTGGTGGATGGCACGTATGGGCGGAGCAGACTGACGTGGAACGAAGGGCTGACGTACCAGTCAGCAGGGAGGAGGAGGTGGGCGGTAACGGGTATGATCATGTGGCTGATGCGAAATGGCCCACAATATCGGGGGCGGAGTTTTGGGGTGATGGGTAGGCGGAGGTTATGGGTGTCGAGTAATACCAGGTCGTCGGGCTGGTAAGTGACGGGGCGGCGGTGTCGGTCAGCATTACGCTTAGCGATGACGTTTGATTTTTTTATGGCTTCTGCTGCTCGGGTCCGGGCTGCCTGCAATATTTCTGCGAACTGTTGTGCGCGTGGGACGGGATTGTCGGGATTCGGGGTCACTGGTACTGTGGGGTCTTGTCCGTAGTTCAGGTAAAAGGGTGACTGTTGGGTGGTGGCGGATGGCGAATTATTGTAGGCGAATTCGATGAGTGGTAGCTGTTGTTCCCAGGTGGTCGGGTCGTCGCACGTGGCTCGGATGAGTTGCTCCATGGTCTGATTGGTCCATTCCGTCTGTCCGTCAATTTCGGGGTGGTACGATGAGCTGAACTGTAGTCGCTGGTGAATTTCGTGTCGCGGTCGCTGATGATTGCTGCTGGTATCCCGTGCAGTCGTACGACGGTGGCGATGAAGAGGCGGGCTGTTTCTTCGGCTGTGATTGATTTCTTGCAGGCGTCTTGTGCCATTTTCGTCAGTCGATCGACGACGACCATGATCGCGTCGTTCCCACTCGCTCCGGCCGGTAACCCCGTGACGAAGTCCATCGTCACCTGCTGCCACGCACGCTCTGGGGGCGGTATCAGTTGCAACTGTCCTGCCGGCCGCTTTCGCGACGACTTCATGAGCTGGCAAGTGGGACACGATGCCACGTGTCGCTGTACGTCGGTCAACATTTCGGGCCAGTAATAATATCGCTGCAGCTGCTGCCGTGTTTTTTCTACCCCAAAATGTCCCGAGGTAACTCCGTCGTGTGCCTCCTGTAACAATAATTCCCGTAGCAGAGTGTACCCTGGTACCCAAATGCGGTCAGTTCCGGTTTTTACGTAATAGACTCCTCTTGCTGTTGCGATTTGCTGCGAATTTCCTCCTGTGAAGAAGGGGTCCGTCTGATAACCGTGGGTGAATAGGCCTGTTAAAAGTGGGTTGGTCTGGGCGAGTAGGATTGCGTGGATGTGGGCAGTGGGGCGGGTCAGTGCGTCGGCTATGCTGGAGGCTCCCTTTTTGTAGGTGACTGTGTAGTGGAAGTTTGACTCGAGGAAATCGAGCCAGCGAATCTGTCGTGGGTTGAGGTGAGGCTGTGCGCGAAGGTACTGTAGTGATTTGTGGTCTGTCCGTACTGTCACGTCCGCGCCGGTCAGGTAGCAGCGCCACACTTTGAACGCGTGCACGATTGCAAGCATTTCGCGGTCGTGTATCGGGTAATTCTTCTCGGGCGGATGCAGTTTTCGTGACTCGTATGCGATGGGCTGTAGGCCGTTGCCGAAATCCTGCAGCAGTACTGCTCTAATGGCGATGTCACTCGCGTCTGTAACTACTTCGAATGGGCGGTGTGGGTCGGCAATGCGCAGGATAGGCGGTGAACAGAGAACAGTTTTCAGGGCAGAGAAGGCAGCTTGCTCTTTCTCCCCCCACGTAAAAGCGACCCCCTTCCGCAGCAGATCCGTCAGTGGGGCGGTTAAGCGAGCCATGTCGGGGACGAACCGACGGACGTAGTTAACAAACCCCAAAAAACTCTTCAGCTCCGTGATGTTGGTCGGGGGGTGCCATGCCTTGACCGTATCCAGCTTCCGTGGGTCAATCTCAACCCCAGCCTCCAAAATAACGTGCCCAAAAAATTCTAACCTATCCCGAAAGAACTCGCACTTAGAACCCTTGGTCAATAACCTATGCTCCTCTAAAATCTTAAACACTGCTTCGAGGTCCGCTAAATGCTGCTGCTTATCGCGACTGTAGACGAGGATGTCGTCGAGGTAGACTATCACGCACTTATCTAAGTGTGGCCTAAACGCCTCGTTCATGGTCATCTGAAATGTCGCAGGTGCGTTGGTCAGCCCGAAAGGCATCACGGTGTACTCGAACGACCCGTACCTAGTCCTAAAGACTGTCTTGGCGCAGTCCGATGGTTCGACCCGAATCTGGTGGTAACCTCCTCATAGATCTATTTTCGAAAAAACCCGTGCTGTTCGCAGTTGGTCGATCAGTTCGTCGGCGCGGGGGATGGGATATCGCGATTTAACTGTAACCCTGTTGAGCGCTCGGTAATCGATGCACATGCAAAACCCCCCGTCTTTTTTCGGTGTGAACAGTATCGGTGCGGCGAATGGCGATGAACTCGGTCGGATAAACTGCTTCTCTAACAGGTAATCTAACTGCTTCCTTAGTTCGTCGAGCTCCGGCTGTGTCAGTCTGAACTGGCGCTGTACGGTTGGCTGTGCCCCCGGCTCTAATTCTATCCTATGGTCGTACGCCCGCTGAGGTGGCAGTCCCTCCGGTAAATCGTCGGAAAAAATCCCCGGGTACCGTTTCAACAGCTCCTGTAGTTCGGGCGGTACCGCTGCCAGCAGTTTCTGAAAATCGCTCGGCTGCTCGGCTTCTCCCACTACTGCGATGTCCACTGCGTACACGTCAGCTCCAGCGGCGACTGCCCGTTTCATCGTGATGGCGTTGACGTGGACCGTTGAAGACTCAGGCGACTGCCAACGTGGTAGCGTTGTTACGGGCTGGATTTGAACTCGCACCCAACAAGCACCAACAAACCTTTGTTACCGACTACAACACCTTTGGTGTTGCTAGTTTGGCATTTTGGGTTGTTGGGGATTGTTGTAGGGCGAGGGTTGGGATGTTAGGGTTGGCCAAAACCGTCACTTTTCAGATCTGAACTCTTGCTTATGCCATTCCTAGATCTAATCCATGGCTGCCAAGTAATTCCGTCAGGATACCCCGTCGCACATAAATCGCGATAGCGATCGGCCTAGATTTTAGTTGAAGGCGTGCTTTACCATTCTGGAAAGTAGAGATTAAGACCTTTCTAACGCGTACCTGCTCACCATTCTAGGTTACGTGAGCTGCACGCAATGTTTCGCCGAAGTCGGCGGACTTAATCTCTTGTTACGCTCTCCAGATTCGCACGCTTTCCATCAGTGGTATCAGAGCTGGTTAGGCCTGCGACATTCCCTCCTATTATCATATTTCGAATTGGCTTAAGAACCTCCAGATCTAGGGTTGGTCATGGCCCAGAAATTAGATGGCCCTCCTAGGTTCACCGGCTCGGATTTTTCGCTATGGCGGTTCCAGTTTACGCTTTGGCTAGGTATCAAAGACCTAGAAGGCGTTTTGGAGGGATCGGAGCGAAGACCCGGAGCTGATGAAGCAGGGGCATCTACTGGAGTCTCTAGCCAAGTGGGAGAAGGGGCTGGGGGAGCCTCTAGCTCATCTACAAGTGAGGAAAGTTGAGGTGGATCAGCAGCACCGCGAACCGGAAGGCAACGGCTTAGTGCGGAGGAGCTACTTAAGGCACAGGAAGCATGGGACCGCAAGGACAAGCAAGCGTTCCAGTACCTGTGTTGGGCTTTGGAAGGCCAACCAGAGCTCACCAAGAGGCGAACGAGGCCCTACTGCAGTACCTTCACCTTGAGCAACAGAAATGGACCAAGGCCTGTGTTCCTAAAGATGCTGATTGACCAAGAGGCGAACGAGGCCCTACTGCAGTACCTTCACCTTGAGCAACAGAAATGGACCAAGGCCTGGATATGGGAGGTGTTGGTCTCTGATGAGGCTCGCAAGCGGGATGCTGGTAGAGGAGTTGAAGGGGGAATGGGGGCAGGTGATAGGGCTGCCTCCAAGAAATACCAGCAGCGGCAAGGAGGTGGGGGGAAGAAGAAGGAGCTCGACAAGTGCCTCGTCCCTGGATGCAACCGGAAGCACTCTTTGAAGGAGTGCTGGAGTCGAACAGAAGGGTGGAAGCCTCAAGGGAACCTAGGAGTGTCAAACATTATATGTTTATATGCTTGTAGGCTGTAGTGGGTTACACCTTATGGGGTACAACCCAAGTTAGGGTTTCCTACTTGTACTCTTGCATGCTGTTAGTTCACTGATTCCTGCCTGTTCATTCTTGACATGGTATCAGAGCAGGTCCTTTGCTAGGACCGCTCCTAGGGCCCACCGCTACCTACCTACCTACCTACCTACCGTGCGCCCTCGTGCGCCCTCGTGCGCCTCTCACTACCGAGCGCCCTCGTGCGCCTTCGCGCCCTCGTGCGCCTCTACCTACCTCGCGCCCTCGTGTGCCTCTACCTACCGCGCGCGCGCAGCCCGCTAGCCACCCGCGCGCGGCTCGTTTTTTAGCGCGCGCGACCCGCTAGCCGCCCGCGCGCGGCCGATTTTTCGCGCGCGCGCCTCGCTAGCTGCCCGCGCGCGAACCGTTGCGGCCTTGTGCGGCCCCGTGCTCTGCCCGCGAGCTGCCCGCCGCTGCAGGCTCTCGCCGCCCGCCGCGTCGCCCTCCCCGTGGCGTCGTCGCCTCCCTACGGCCCGTCGTGGCCCCTTACCCGCCCTTCGCGGCCCCCCTCAGCCGCCGTCGCGGCTCCTTACCCACGCGTCGCGGCCCCTTAGCCGCTTACAGCAGCGGCCGCCGCCGACCCTGCAGCAGCAGCCGCCGCCGACCTGCAGCAGCTGCCGCCGCCGAGCCTGCAGCAGCAGCCGCCGCTCGACCTGCAGCAGCTGCCGCCGCCAAGCCAGCAGCAGCGGCCGCCGCCGACCCTGCAGCAGCAGCCGCCGCTCGACCTGCAGCAGCTGCCGCCGCCGAGCCTACAGCAGCGGCCGCCGCCGACCCTGCAGCAGCAGCCGCCGCTCGACCTGCAGCAGCTGCCGCCGCCGAGCCTGCAGCAGCAGCCGCCGCTCGACCTGCAGCAGCTGCCGCCGCCGAGCCTACAGCAGCGGCCGCCGCCGACCCTGCAGCAGCAGCCGCCGCTCGACCTGCAGCAGCTGCCGCCGCCGAGCCTACAGCAGCGGCCGCCGCCGACCCTGCAGCAGCTGCCGCGGAGCTCCCTGCTACGACCTGGCCCCGCCCCGCTGTTGCAGCGGCCCTACTGTCGCCACTGTCTTGCGCCCGCCGCACCAACCACTGGTGAGCTTTGCCCTGCCAGCACTGCTACCGTTACTACTACTGCAAATGCCTATACTGCTCCTGCTGTTCCTGCTGTTGCTGCCACTACTGCTGCTGCTCCTGCCGTGGCCAGATGGAGCTCCAGCAGGCTCGTGAGTGGTACGCCGGCTTGGGCAGTCGGGGTGGCCGTAGTGGTAGTCGCTCTGGAGTGCGTCGTTCGGGAGCCTCTGGTAGTGGACAGGTGCAGCAGCCGTGCCCTCTTCTGCTCCAGCAGGCTCGTGAGTGGTACGCCGGTTTGGGCAGTCGGGGTGGCCGTAGTGGTAGTCGCTCTGGAGTGCGTCGTTCGGGAGCCTCTGGTAGTGGACAGGTGCAGCAGCCGTGCCCTCTTCTGCTCCAGCAGGCTCGTGAGTGGTACGCCAGTTTGGGCAGTCGGGGTGGCCGTAGTGGTAGTCGCTCTGGAGTGCGTCGTTCGGGAGCCTCTGGTAGTGGACAGGTGCAGCAGCCGTGCCCTCTTCTGCTCCAGCAGGCTCGTGAGTGGTACGCCAGTTTGGGCTGTCGGAGTGGCCGTAGTGGTAGTCGCTCTGGAGTGCGTCGTTCGGGAGCTACTGGTAGTGGACAGGTGCAGCTGCCGAGTCCTGTGAGTGAGGCTGCCGCTCTAGGTGCTAGTACGTCTGTTGCCCTAGGTGCGGGTGAGGCTATCCCTCCCGGTACTCGCGTGTCTGCTACTCCAGGTGCTGGTGAGCCTACTGCTCTAGGTGCTAGTGCGTCTGCCGCTCCAGGTGCTCGCGTGTCTGCTACCCCAGGTGATGGTGAGGCTGTCGCTCTAGGTACTGGTGCGTCTGTCTCCTCTGGTACTGAGTCGACTGCAGCACTCCACACCTTCACACTTGACTCAGGTGCTTCTCGCTGCTTCTTTCGTGACCGCACTGTCCTTGAGCCCCTCGCTCGGCGGTTGCGGTCTCCCTCGCTGACCCCTCTGGGGGTCCGGTCATTGCGACTCACTCCACTGTCCTTCCTTGTCCTGCGGTCCCGTCAGGCACACTGTCAGGTCTCTACCTTCCCTCGTTCTCTACGAACTTGGTGGCGGGTCGTACGCTCCAGGACGGGGGTGTTCACCAGTTCACCCCTGCCTACGAGCGCGTGACACACTGCACGTGTGCTCGGACGGGTCGCCACCTGGCTACCTTCACTCGGGAGCCGGGGTCGGACCTGTACACACTGACCACTGAGTCCCCTCAGGTAGCTGCGACTGCGTCTGCGTCTGCGTCAGCGTCAGGTCAGCTGTCCGCCCCCTACTCGTGTCGCTCTCTGGCGCATGAGACTGTCCTTTGGCACCACCGCCTTGGTCACCCGTCTGTGCAGCGCCTTCGGGCCATGCACAAACGGGACCTTGTTGCTGGTCTTCCCAGGGTACTCCCTCCCCTTCCAGACTCGCCTGCTCCTCCCTGCATTCCTTGTGTCGAGGGGCGGCAGCGCGCCGCTCCTCACTCCTCCTCCTTTCCCCCGACGACTGCTCCTTTGCAGACGCTCCACATGGACGTGTGGGGCCCAGCCTGCGTCCGTGGACAGGGTCAGGAGAGGTACTTCCTGATTGTTGTTGACGACTTCTCGCGCTTCACCACGGTCTTCCCCTTGCGCGCCAAGGGTGACGTCCCTGATGTATTGATCCCCTGGATCCGCAGATCTCGTGTCCAGCTCAGCAGGCGCTTCCGTTCCGACTTTCCTGTCCTGCGTCTGCACTCTGACAGAGGTGGGGAGTTTGCCTCCAGCCTCTTGGAGGCCTTCTGTCAGCAGGAGGGCATTGAGCAGTCGTTTACGCTTCCGGCCTCTCCACAGCAGAATGGGGTTGCTGAGCGCCGCATTGGTCTGGTCATGGAGGTCGCTCGTACCTCCTTGAGCCATGCGGCTGCCCCCCATTTTCTGTGGCCGTTTGCAGTCCGATACGCTGCGCATCAGCTCAACCTCTGGCCCCGTGTCTCCTTGCCGGAGACTTCTCCGACACTGCGTTGGACGGGAGAGGCTGGCGATGCGTCGCATTTTCGGGTCTGGGGATCCCGAGCTTTTGTCCGCGACACGTCCGCGGACAAGCTCTTTCGTCGCGCTGTCCCCTGCGTCTTCCTTGGCTTTGTCCCGGACGCCCCTGGTTGGCAGTTCTACCACCCCACCTCGCGTCGTGTCCTGGCCTCTCAGGACGTCACTTTTGACGAGTCCGTCCCCTACTACCGCCTCTTCCCCTACCGCACTGCCCCGCTCCCCCCCCCGCCTCTCTTCCTCGCTCCAGGTGCTGAGGTCCCAGACCCCCTCCCCCCTCAGGGTGCCGCTCCCTCAGGTGTGTCCCAGGTAGACCCGGGTGAGCCTGTCGAGGTAGCTGTTGACTCTCGTCCTGCTAGGGGTGCTGAGCCTGGGGGTGCTGCGTCTGGGGGTGCTGAGCCTAGGGGTGCTGCGTCTGGGGGTGCTGAGCCTGGGAGTGCTGAGTCTGGGGGTGCGGAGCCTGGGGGTGCTGAGCCTGGAGGTGCGGAGCCTGAAGGTGCGGTGACTGGTGGTGCTGAGCCTGGGGGTGCTGAGTCTGGGGGTGCTGAGTCTGGGGGTGCTGAGCCTGAGCGTGCTACACCTGGAGGAGCCCTCTCCTCCCAGCAGCTGCAGGAGAGGTACCTCGAGTACTGCCGCCTCCGGAGAGGTGCTGCTGGAGCTCGTCCCGGTACTTCCCCTCCTACCCAGGAGCTCCCCCCCATTCAGCAGATCCGCGAGTGGTACACACGGCGCTGCAGTCTTCGGAGTGGTGCTCCTGGTGCTGCGGACCCTGGGGGTGGCGCTGCTGCTGGTGCTGAGGACCCGGGCGCTGGAGCTGCTGCTGGTGCTGAGGACCCGAGCGGTGGTGCTGCTGCTGGTGCTGAGGACCCGGACGTTGGAGCTGCTGCTGGTGCTGAGGACCCGGGCGGTGGAGCTGCTGCTGGTGCTGAGGACTCGGGCGTTGGAGCTGCTGCTGGAGCTGAGGACCCGAGCGGTGGCGCTGCTGCTGCTACTGAGGACCCGGGCGTTGGAGCTGCTGCTGGTGCTGAGGACCCGGCCGGTGGAGCTGCTGCTGGTGCTGTGGACCCGGACGCTGGAGCTCCTGCTGGTACTGAGGACCCGGCCGCTGGAGTCTCTTCTGCTTCTGGAGACCCTGCGCGGCCGCGACCGTACTTCGTACCGCTCCTTCAGCAGGTTCTTGGGCAGGCTCCTCCCCCTTGTCCTCCTCCCTCCGTAGAGTGTCCTCCGCCTGTCCAGCCGCAGTCACAGTTACCACCTACCTCGCCTCTCCCTGCTCCCTCTCCTTACACTGGTCCCACAGGAGGTCTTATAGAGCGTCGTGAGCCTGAGTCTCGTCCTGCGTCGCCTATTCGTACTGCTCGCACTGGTAGTCGTGTCCGCCGTGAGCGTCCTCCTCCTGTCCCAGGCACTCACTACATGACTCTGCGTCCCTCTACTGCTCCTCAGCGTGTCCCTCTACCGTCTCCTCCTGCGTCCTCTTTGCCTGACGTTCCGGACCCTGAGTCTGACCGGTATCGTGCTGAGCACCCTACTGTCACGCGTCTCCTAGCTACTGTTGTCACTGACCCTACCTTTGAGTCCTCGGCTGCGTCTGCTCTGGTCGCTGAGTTGGTTGATTTTGCTGCTGCCTGTCGTCTAGACTACGCTGCTAGCCTTGTTGCTGAGTCTGAGTCTGAGTCTGTCTGTCCTCCGTCCGTCGGGGGTGAGTGTGCTCTTGGCACGGACGTCCTTGAGGACAGACAGGAGGAGTTCCAGTATCTTGCTGCTGCTTTGCCCCGTCTCGTGTCCCTGCTAGTTGCCCCTGAGGGAGATCCGGATGCACCAGACATCCCGACCCCGCGCACTTACGCTGAGGCGATCGCGGGTCCCTACTCCTCTCAGTGGCAGACAGCCATGGACGCCGAGATGGCTTCCTGGAAGTCCACACGCACCTACGTCGACGAGGTTCCCCCTCCTGGGGCGAACATCGTCAGTGGCATGTGGATTTTCAGGGTGAAGCGGCCGCCGGGTTCTCCTCCTGTCTTCAAGGCGCGCTACGTGGCTCGAGGCTTCAGTCAGCGAGAGGGAGTCGACTTCTTCCAGACCTTCTCCCCCACCCCGAAGATGACCACTCTTCGGGTGCTGCTGCACATAGCCGCTCAGCGCGACTACGAGCTTCACTCACTTGACTTCAGCACTGCTTTCCTGCAGGGCAGCCTGCACGAGGAGATCTGGCTGCGCCGCCCTCCTGGCTTCACTGGGTCGGTTCCTCCTGGCACCCAGTGGAGGCTCCAGCGGCCGGTCTACGGTCTCCGCCAGGCGCCACGTGAGTGGCACGACACACTGAGGACGACACTTGCGGCTCTTGGGTTCGCGCCCTCTACTGCTGACCCGTCACTGTTTCTACGCACCGACACCTCGCTGCCGCCGTTCTACATCCTCGTGTACGTCGACGACTTGGTTTTTGCCATTGCTGACACCGCGGGACTCGCCCACGTGAAGTCGGAGCTGCAGAGGAGACACACGTGCACAGACCTGGGTGAGCTGACGAGCTATCTTGGCTTGCGGATCACCCGGGACAGAGCACGGCGCACCATCACCTTGACTCAGTCACACATGGTGCAGCAGATCCTTCAACGCTTCCGCTTCACGTACTCCTCGCCTCAGTCCACTCCTCTGCCTACCAGTCACTCGCTCTCAGCTCCACCTTCGGACGAGTCCGTAGAGCCGAGTGGCCCGTATCCAGAGCTTGTGGGCTGCCTCATGTACCTGATGACCTGCACTCGACCTGACCTGGCATACCCTCTTAGCATCCTTGCACGCTATGTCGCTCCTGGCCGTCACAGGAAGGAGCACATGGATGCCGCTAAGAGGGTGTTGCGCTACTTTTGCAGTACGTCGGGCATGGGGCTTGTGCTTGGAGGGCGAGACCGAGTTGTTCTCACAGGGCACTCAGACGCTTCTTGGGCAGACGACCAGGCTACTCAGCGGTCGTCTCAGGGTTACACCTTCAGC